TTCGTCCCGGGCCGGAGCGGGCCTAACGGCGCCCGGCCCGGCTGTGAGGCTCACCGGCGGCTGCACGGGCTTGGGACATCGGTAGCCAAACCCTCGCGGTGGTGTCCAGGCCGCACTTTCTGCCCGTTTTCTCGCTGCCCGCGCGGCTTCTCGACGGCCATGCGCTTGGGTGTGCGCCCCGGATCGCCCGCGGCCTTCGTGACCTTGGGGACCCCCCACCACCCCTGCCGCGGTGGCGCGGCTTGGAGCCCGAGAGAGCGGTGCTTGGTTGTAGCTGGCTTGACATTGCCCGGGGAGGTGGAGAGGCGCCCGCCGGTCCCCAGACCTCGCTGAACTCCTGGCATCTCCCCGACTTCCTGCCGCGGGGAGCCGAAGCACCGGCCGGCTAAGCGGGAGAGCCCGGCCCGGGGTTGGGCGTGGGCTCGGGGGGTGCGGTCGCCTCGGCCGGGAGAGGCTCTGTCAGCCCGGCCTGACAGGCGCGGGAGCCAAAGCCTACTTTGGCTCCAACATGTATGGAGAAATGCGGGCTTTGCACCACTTCCCGTGAACACTTCCCAGGTTCTCCGGCAAGAGCATGTGCCAGAGGGCCTTCCTGAGCAGATCGGAGAGGGGGACCTGCCCAGCGCCAGCCCCGGGCTCAGATGTGGGTCCTCAGCCCCTCACCCGCGGGCCGCCTGTGTACCCAGGCAGCCTCGCTGGGGGGGTCTGCCCTACACGTAAAATACGTTCTCCAGCTGGCTCTGGAGGCATACACCTTCGATCCCGGCAGGTGGGAGGCCGAGGAGGAGGAGTTCTGAATTCCAGGACAACATGGCCTGCATAGCAAGTTCAAGATCAGCCTGAGCTACGTGGCAGGACCTGTCTCAAAGAATAAAATAAGAGCTGGAGATGTAGCTCAGTGGTAGAACTCTTGTAGAGTACTTACAAGGCCCTGGATTTGATTTCCAGAACTATAAAAATAAGAGTGTACTCTTCCCATAATGTGTGCTAACAGGTTCGTGCTGAGAGCAGTAGAGAAAGCAGCGGACCCCTCAGAAACCTGCTTGGACATGAAGGCCAAGGAAATACTCAGCTTATATTCTGATTGTATCTGGGTAGCATTCAGACATGCCAACTCCTACTCAACCATCAAAACCCCCCTCAAGTGTCCCCTCCCTCCTACTCCTTGGCAATCATGTGAACAGTGCAGTACTTTAAGGTATGGCTTGGGCTCCTGAGTCAGCGTGTGGCTACTTCATTCCTTACTGATCCCTGACCTGGCCTGGGTCCCAGACGCAGCAAATGCTCCAAGCATACCGTGGCATCTCTGACCCTGTTTGTGGAGGCGTTCTGGAACAGACAGCCATGTTGGTGTCATTACCACAGCTCAGATGGCATCAAGCAGCACACTCGGCCCACAAGGTGTCCAGGTCAGCTCCTCCCTGGGGTTCCAAGGAGGAGTGAGCATTCCTGCGGCAGCTGTCCACATTCTCTTTCCTGTTCACGCCTGTTTTCCTGTCCATCCTTCCCTCTTCCAAGGGCACTGGCTAGGTGTAGAACACGCCCTAATCCAGATGACCCTCCTCCTGGAGCCGTTTGCAAAGGGTCTCATTTCAGCTGCAGTGGCATCTAGTGAGAGTATTCCAGAAAGGACAGCCAGCAAGCGAGGGCCCGAGGTTCTCGGGAGCTGCTGTCACAAGTGGGCTTGTGGATGGCCTGCATGGGGCTGTACGGGGCGGGCACCCTGCGCAGAAGTGGGGAGTACCAGCCTGGTCTGGAGCCCGTTTCTTGTAGTGACAAAGCATGGCACATGGGGACACAGTCAGAATCAGGCTTTGGCCAAAACACAAGAGTGTGACTATGCCTGGGAGCCTGAGCTGGAGCCCAGAGGTATCCCCCAGACCTGCCCTGCTCCCTGGTGGCTGCGGATGGCAGGGTGCCCGCTACACACCCCAGCAGGAGCCTCCGGACTCCATGGTACTTTTATGTAGATTCCTGTTTGCATTTCAAGTGTAGAGGAACTTTTCTTGATTGCTCTCTTGGTTATCGGTAACTGTTTCTTTCACTTATTTTCTTCTTCATAATCCTTTTCTCCTATGTCTGGTGTTGACTGTGTGTGTGTGTGTGTGTGTGTGTGTGTGTGTGTGTGTGTGTGTGGTGCTGGGGATTGAACGAGAGCCCTGCCCTTGCTGGGCAGGTGCTCAACCGTTGAGTAGCATCCCAGCCCTTCAGCGTTGGCTTCTGACTCTCGAAGGCAGGTTTTATCCACAGACCAGTGCTGTGAGTGTGGGTTAGTCCTGTCGAGTCGGATCAGGCAGTGGTGTTCACGGAGTGCTCTCTCCTTCAAGATCTAGTGTCTTTCCTCCCAGACCTGCCACTTTCCAAAGAGACATACCAGCAACCTGTTCCCCTTCTTCTACCTGGGGAGAGGTCCTGGCTGTGAGCCAGCTTGGGGTTCACAGCGTGGCTCCATGGTCTTCTGGCTTCAGGCCCAGCCCTGGCATCCGCTCTGCAGTTCACACCGTCCTTTTGCTTTTCATACGAAGGAAGACCTTGCGGCTGCTTGGGCCCTGTGCTTGTGGTCCTTAGGGAGTTCTGCCTTTCTTGTTCCTCACTCAGCAGCCAGGTGAGGGTTTGTTTACAGCTTGCATCCCCTCCTCTGGCCTTTGGCTTAAACGAAGTGAGATAGCATCTAGGTGCGGCTTGTATAAAAATACAGTTATAGTAAACATTTTCTTAATACTTGGCAAAGCTCCAAAGCGTCTTAATTACTAGGACCCCTTCTCGTGGTGTGCCATAGTGTGTGGTGGGCTCATGGTATCCTCTTCCTTGGCAAGCTACTGTCCTGTACGCAGAGCACATGGGGCCTGCCTTGTGTCTTGGAAAGAACACATTCATGGGGCAAGCATTCAGGGGCAGGAGCTGGGACATTTGGAAGGGTAGCACTGGCTCTTGAGGGAGTAAAGAAGCCCTTGAGGTGTTTCTCCCCTGCCTGCACTCAGCCCCCAGGCAGCTCCTGGCTGCTCACGCCCCCTGGTGGTTGGCCGTGTCAGACGGCTCCTCTGCGGAGCTGGGCACCTCTGGCAGGAGTCCTGTCACAGTAAAGAGAAAGACCGTAATGAGTATAGGAGAAGCCTTGCAGCTTTCAAAAGAACAGAGCAAGAGGAGCCCCCTGGAGGTCGTGTCTGCTGAGGGGTCACGGGCTGCAGGAAGATGAGGTAGGCAGGCCTTGGAGCCCTGGGGCTGGCATGCCCTGTGAGGCTGTGGCCCGGGACCCCGTGGGAGCTGGAGTCCTGGGGCGGATGGCCGTACAAGGCCTGTGTAGCAGGAGGGGATGGGCAGGCAGGTGCCCTTCCCCTGTCACACCCACCTGCTCCAAGGTGACTGCCTGCGGCCACTCCTAGGGCACCTCCCGGGGCAGAGATCAGGTGTGTGCTTTGGAGGAGATGGCAGGCCTTGTCCTTTGTGAGCTCGTGAACGGCTGGAGAGCTTGGTCCCCTGGGGGCTCAGATCGTGGCTCACATTGTGCCTGCCACACTTCCTCTCTGTCCCCTCCCACCTTCCCCGGGGTCTCCCAGACACCCCAGTGCCGTGCCCGGTGGCCATTCTGGAGGAAGAACTTCCAGTGTGTGTCTTTACCCACACACTGCCGACCTTCTCCACCAGCTCGCAGCCGACACTTGCCAGAGTATGTGCGGGCAGCAGCCCCAGCTCGGGGGGTGGGGGGGAGGCACCAAGGGGGCTGCAGAAAAGGGCCTCATCTGTCGCAGGAAGTCCCAGGCCCCTGACAGAACCCGGGAGGCTTTTGAGCCCAGCCTAGAGCTTTCCGAGAGAGGCTCTGGGTTCGTCCACCACCTGGGCAGGGACAGACCCGGAAGCATCGTTTCTGGCAAGAGTCCAGCAGTACTGATTCCGCTGGCGTGGTGAAGGCATGCGTGCCTGCCTCCAGACCCGTGCCTCTGCATCGTGTGAAGGTCTGGGAGCCCGTGGCAGCCCTCACCTGTGCTTCTCAGCAAGATCAGTGTCTGGTCGGGGTTCAAGGCCATGACTTGGTACTTAAGCAGTAAAGGTTCATAACAGGTACTGACCTCTGCAAGAGTACAGCCTGATCCTGTCCCGCCTCAGTTCCTGTCCAGCTCAAGGCTGGGGGCAGACCCACAGGTGAAGCAGTGGGTGTGCGGCCGCAGGCCCCGGGCTGAGATGGTTTCCAGTCTCACCAGAGCAGTCTGCTATTCTACCTGGGACACGGCTTCTTTGCTGGCCTCACAGGCCCAGGCTGAGCACAGCCCCATGGGAAGCCTTCCCCGTGCTAGCTCGATGGTGAGCAGCTCGCATCCACCAGTGTCTTTGTGATGTGAGAGTCTGTCCCCCAGTCCAGGGAGGATGTGGAGCCTGGCTTGGTGTCCTCAGCACGCCTCAGAGTCTTGTCCTTTGCCACAGACTTGGGCGGATCTTGCCGGCCGCGCACGCTGGCCGTGCGGAGGAAGCTGCCGTGATGGCTGACGAGTCCTCTTCACCTCTCCCGCAGATGCTGGACGAAAACCACCACCTGATCCAGTGTATCCTGGACCACCAGAGCAAGGGCAAAACAGCCGAGTGTGCCCAGTAAGTTGCTTGCTGCCCGGGTTGGGCCTCCCACCTCTCTGTCGAAGTGCAGACTCTGCCTTCTCCAAACACTGGGGAGGCCTTGCGCACTCCGAGGAAAGCATCTCAGTCCGAGGGCTGAGGTTAGATCTGGCCCTGGGGGCAGCTGGAGAGAAAGGGGTCAGGGAGGAGCGCTAGGGAGGCCAGGCTGGCTGTGGTGACCGCTGGAGCTGGGCACAGAGCAGCTGGCCACAGGCTTCCCTGGAGGTGTGGGAGGGGCCTCAGGAAACCCGGGTAGGCATGTGAGTCCCCGGGATGTTATGTGAGAGACCCGGCCCTGTCTGCTGTGGCATATGTGAACTACTGTCTCGGAATGAGCTGGATCTGTTCTCCGCCCTCTGGAAGTCCAGCTCTCTTGGTTAAATGGCTTCTGCCTCTGTCCGTCTGGGGGCACCATGTGGTGACCTCTGCCACTTGTGCCGTGTCCCTCTCCTGCAGGTACCAGCAGCTCCTGCATCGAAACCTGGTGTACCTGGCCACAATCGCAGACTCCAGCCAGAACATGCAGTCTCTGCTTCCCGCGGTGCGTACCCAGTTGCCGGGCGTGGCGCCTCACCTAGCGCGGGGGTCCAGCCAGGCCCACTACCCTGGGAAGGGATGTGATCCTTGCTTCCGGTCTTGCAGGGGTGAGGAGGTGTGACAGAGGTGGGATTGGGCTCGGCCTGTTTAGCAGTAGCCATGGACTCAGCGCAGACCCTGAGGGGCAGGGAGGGGATGCTCGCTCGAGTTGTAAGCTGACTTGCTAAAAGGATGTAATTTGGGGCTGGGAAGGTGGCTCAGTGGTAGAGTACTTGCCTTGCATGCACAAGGTCCTGGGTTTGATTCCTCAGCACCACATAAGTGGAAAAAGCCATAAGTAGCACTGTGGCTGAAGTGGTAGAGCACTAGCCTTGAGCTGAAGAGCTGAGTGACAGCACCCAGGCCCAGAGTTCAAGTCCCACGACCAAAAAAAAAACAAAAAAATGATGTAATTATTTTGTGATACTGGGTCTTGAGCCAAGGTCCTCATGCTGCGAGCCCTTCTGGAACTGTGAGCAGTTCTAGCCCATGCCCTTTAATATGAGGATTCCTGTCAGGTATGCTGGTGGCTCACACCTGTCTGTCACCCGAGCTACTCAGGAGGCTGAGATCTGAGGATCACAGTCCAAGGCTACTCTAGGCAGGAAAGTCCATGAGATTCTTACCTCCAATTAACTACCAAAAAGCCAAAAGTGGAGTTGCTGCTCAAGTAGTAGAACACTACCCAGGTACTACATTTAAGGCCCAGGAACAGCGAGCGCATGCACACGTGCATGTATGCACACAAGTTCCCAAGCCATCCCTATAATCCTAGGAAGTAGGATCAGGAGGATTGTAATCAAGGCAGCCTGGGTAGAAAGTGTAAGATTCCATTTCCAGTTAACCACCAAAAATCTGGGTTGAAGGCAAGGCTTAAGTAGTAGAGTGTCAGTCCTGAGCAAGTAAACTGAGTGAGGATGGGACCTTAAATTCAAGCCCCAGTACTGGCAAAATAAATGAACAAACCCAGAGCTAAAAGGGGTGGAGGTGTGGCTTAAGTGGTAGAGCCCTCAAACCCTTAATTCAAATTCCAAGTACAGACTAAAGAAAAAAATTTCCAGCACAGTAAATATTGCAGATGTTAGCATACACATTTCATTGTCTTCTGTTTGATTTGCTATAAATACAATCTCCTCAAGGTAAGTTTGTGCTGTGAAGCGGGATCCTTTGCCGGTAGCCTTGGAGCCACGGGGGAGTGTGCCCAGACAGTGCCGGGTGCAGCTGCCTCCAGGTGTCAGGCTCGCACGGCACCAGTAGTGCCCGCCCCACTCCTCCAGCCCCTGGAAGTGGCAACATAGATGCCTGGATCAGTTCCCCAAGTACAAAGTGGCAATCAGCTCTGATGGGCTACCCAACCCATCATCTCCCTGGAGAGACTCGGGGTCCTCCAGGTGCTCCGTCTGAGCACATTAGGAGCCACTGATGGAGGACCTGGGGGGTGGGGTCCTGGGGGAATGTGGACTGGGGATATGGACCTGGTGTGGGGTCCTGGGGGGCAGGGCTTCTGGGAGGATGTAGAACCCCGGGGGTGGGGTTCTGGGGGGCAGGGCTGTGGACATGGAACGCTATGGAGGTGAAGTGAATGCAGAGAACCTCCTTGTGTGAGGGGCCCAGGCCATGGCAGGAACGTGGACCCTGAGATACTTGGCCCACTGAGCTGAAGAGGAATGGGGTGGTATCGGGTGGTATTGGAGTCTGAGGGCCAGCAGAGGGAGAAGGGATGCTTCTAACCTGTGGTGGGCTTCTCGCCTCCAGGTGTGGGAAGATAAACAGTTCCCTGAGCCATTCGGGCCTCAGGAGCCCCATCTTGCTAGTCCACGGGTGCTATAGGCTGTAAGCATTCAGTGGCTGGTGGTGAATGGGGTGCAGATGTGGGGAGGGGGAACTGCATCTCCGTGGGGGGGCACGTGCGATCCCCAAGTGTCAGCGCCCCCCCAACCTTCCTGTGCCCCACAGCCTCCAACCCAGAACATGAACCTGGGCCCAGGCACCCTGAGTCAGAGCGGATCCGGCCAGAGCCTGCACTCGCAGGGCAGCCTCAGCGATGCCATCAGCACAGGCCTGCCCCCGGCCTCGCTCATGCAGGGCCAGATGGGCAACGGTGAGCAGGTTTGCAGCCATGGGTGGCTGGTGGGGGGGTAGACCTGACTTCATCGGGCTGGGCGCTGGGACCACCATCCTCCTGCATCCTGGTCACAGAGCCACTGTGACCACCTGGGCCCCGTGCGCACGCAGTGGGGTGAGCCGCGGAGGCTGCAGCTCTGGCCCCGGGCCCCCTGCTCCTCTTGCTCGGTCGCGCTGGGCTGCTTCGGTTCGCTGGGGACTTTCTGCTGAGGGTGAGGCTGCCACATTTGACTGAGAACACTGTGTAACGAGCACACAGCTCATCTTGTTCTTCCTTAGTGTCTATGTTTCTCTTCTAGCCGTTCATGGTGTTCTTGACCCTGCTAGCCGCCCTCCTCAAGGCCAGCTGAGGGAGGGAGGGAGGAAGGGAGCTCAGCACTTCCTTCAGAGATGTGTCCTAGTCCCAGCAGCTGACCTGCCTCCTCCACCCTCCCAGCAGGCCCCAACCACGTGTCCATGCAGCAGACCGCGCAGAGCACGCTGCCTACCACTTCTGTGAGCATGTCAGGCAGCAGCCACGGAACCGGGCCCGGCTACAGCCACTCCGGCCCCGCCTCGCAGAGCGTCCCCATGCAGGGCCAGGGTGCCATTGGCAACTACGTGTCTCGGACCAACATCAACATGCAGTCCAACCCAGGTACTCACCGCTTCACGCTCGGGTTGGGTGGTCCCCGAGAGGGGCTGCTCATTTGCGATCCCCGAGGGCAGGGCTGGGCAGGCGGGGAACTCTGAGGCTTCTGGAGAGGTCCTGAGGAGCGGCAGTGCTGGCTGCGTGTCTGGATTGACACTTGTATGCTGGGGTGTAGGGCGTAAGGCACTCCTGGTGCGGGGAACGCCCTGCCAGCTGCCCAAAGCAGAAGGGAAGGAGAGCCATAGGTGCCCGGCCAGAGACTGGGCTTCGTCCAGCGCAGGGGCAGCCCCTGGGCCCGAGCCCCCATGGCAGAGACCACGGGCCTGGGGATTGTGAGCTCTGGGGAGTAGCAGGGCCCAGTTTGGAAGTTCCCTGAGTGATAGGCGATTCAGAGTTTATTACATAAATGCGTTTTTATAGTAATTATAAGCTAAAACTTATTTTGGAAATACTGACTGATCAACGTATCGTTAAAATTGACTTCCACTGATTCCTTTTGCTTTGGCAATGTGGTTACTGGAAACCTGATCACAGATGGCCCCTGTCCTCTTTCTGTGGCCGGTGCTGCTCCCGGGGTTCTGAGCAGGACTGTGTGGTCAGGCCAGGCCAGCAGGCCCAGCTCCTCCCAGGCTAAGGGAACACAGGACGTGAGTTTCTGTGGGAGCTGCAGGACCACTTTCATATATACGTGTGTGTGTATATATATAATATATATATGTATATGTTATTGTAAAGTTGCCATACAGAGGGGTTATAGTTACATGAGGAAAGTAATGAGTACATTTCTTATTGGGCATTGTTGCCCCCTCCTTCGTTTTCCTCCTACCATCCCTTCCCTCCCCACCTCCCTAACCCCCCTTCCCCCACAGAGTTGTAAAGTTCCTTTTCCACACGGTGTCTCGTATGTCTCATTGTCGCAGTGGGTCAGCCTGTGTCTTTGTCGCAGTATCCGCAGGGCCGCTCTCTGTGCCGTGTTTGCAGGGCCCCTCTCTATGTTGGCACATTTTAAATAGCGGCACCAGCTGGGTGGATGCCTGTGAGCCCACTGTTGAGGCTGAAGCGGGCATCATGAACTTGAGGCTAGCCAGGGCTACCCAGCAGGGTCTTGCTTCAGAATCGTCATCATCACCGTCATCCTATTCATAATAATAGAACAGTTGATACCAAGGCTGGAGCTTTGACCACATGCCAGGCATATGTGCAGCTGTTATTGGGGAGTTACAGGTAATGGTCTCGTGGGGAACCCCAGGAAATCATAAAGGGCCAGCCCAAGGAGGGAGTCAGGTTGGCACATGAGGGCCTGGGGCTGGGGGAGGGCTGCTGCCCTGAGCTATCCTGAGCTTCCTGTGGCTGATTTGGAATCTCTGTGCTGTCATACAGTGCCCATGATGCACCAGCAGGCTGCCACGTCCCACTACAACTCGGCGCAGGGCAGTAGCCAGCACTACCAGGGCCAGTCCTCCATCGCCATGATGGGCCAGGGCGGCCAGGGGAGTAGCATGATGGGGCAGCGGCCCATGGCGCCCTACCGGCCTTCGCAGCAAGGTGAGGTCGTGGGCACTCCCAGCCGGGGTGGGCGCTACAGACCCAGGCCTGTGGCGAAGGCCCAGAGCTCGCGACGTGCGCAGGCGGAGGACCAAGGGGGTCTGAGAGGATGGGGAGGGGCTTGGTCTGTCCCCTCAAGGGACCTGGGAGGTATTCTCACAGGAGTGGGGCTGCTCTGCCAGGAGAGTGTGCCCTGGTCCTGAGCGCTGTGTTGATGCCTGCAGGCTCTTCCCAGCAGTACCTGGGCCAGGAAGAGTACTACAGCGAACAGTACAGCCACGGCCAGGGCGCCGCTGAGCCCATGACCCAGCAGTACTACCCTGATGGTGAGCCCTGCGCCCCGGCGCTGCCCCAGCTCCTCCAGACCCGTGCCCCTCTGACCCTCACCAGCCATGCTCTTCTGCTGCTCGCATCCCTCCTAGATCATCGTTAAGTCATCCTGGGTTTGTGGAGAAGGCATTTAAAGGGGTATGGGGGTGGGGTGGGTAGGGTGGTGCACACCTGTAACTTCAGCATTCTGGAGGCCGAGGCAGAATTATGAGTTCCAGGCCAGACTAGACTACAGAGTGAGTAGATTTGAAGTACAGCTGGGGACACAGCTGGGCTTCCTGGAGCACACCGAGCAGAACATGTTAGCTGAAGAAGCGTGAGGTGGCGGTACAGCCCAGCAGGGAAATGGGTGGCTTGTGGTATCAAAACAGCCAGCCGGGGCTGGGAAGGTGGCTCAGTGGTAGAGCGCTTGCCTTGCATGCTTGAGGCCCTGGGTTCGATTCCTCAGCACCACATAAGCAAAAAGAAAAAAGCGGGAAGTGGCGCTGTAGCTCAAGTGGTAGAGCGCTAGCCTTGAGCTGAA